GATATAATGCCCATAACTTATGCAAAGTCGCTGCAGAGGCAGATCCCGTGCTCGAGGAGATATTTCTTCATGTGTCGGTCGTTGAGACCTGCACTGCTTCCTTGTTAAAGTGTTCGATGTATGCCCGCAAAGATTTATCTCTGCCTTGGATGATTGCTTCGAGCGACACCTTCGAATTTGGGTGTCGAAGAGAGGCGGTGAAGTGTCTCAAAAATATTCTCTCGAGTTGCTTCTAGGAGGTGATGGATTCGTCCCAGAGACTCTTGTACCAAGACATTGCTCCCTTCATGAGAGTGGTTGGGAACAATATGCACTTGATGGCCCCTCTAACTCCTCAATGGTCGAGGAGAGCGTCAATGTTCTCAATATGTTCGTCGGAGTTCGACGTTCCATCGTAGGTTCCCAACAGAGGTGGCTTCTCAAGGTCGACAGGGAGTTGGGCTTCTGTAATTTCCCTTGATAGCGGGCCACGTGGCTCGTCATCTTCACTATCAGTGGGGGGCAGAGAAGAGGGGTGATAATTTTTACCCCATCAATCATCGCGGTCTCCTCGGGGGGAGGGAATCCTCTGTTTCTGTCTTGGTTCGGGCGAAGGTAATCGAGCGCGGTCAATTTGATGATCATCTTTCCTCTTCTTGTATGAAGGGGAGTCTTGATCTTTCGTAGGAGGTGTGCGGTTGTGTTTATTGAAGAAAGAAACGTAGCGCTTCTTCTTTCTTGGTGGAAGGCCACGCCTAGGTGGTGATATACTGGAGGAGTCTTGTCTCCGGGCTCTCCGAGGAGGAGACCTTGACCGTTTGTTCTCCCAGGCCCCTATCCTTTGGTTCTATTGTAGGATGAGGGCGTTGGTCTGGTTGATGTCAGCGAACAACGCTGCAATGGCCGAGTCGGTGCTGAGAGGGATAGGAACTGGTTGCAGGATCCGTGGAAGTTCCTCAATGGGATTCTTGGGATGCCGCTTGTCCAAGAATTAGTTATCGCCGCGTCGGGTGTCAGTTGAATCTGGAGACGTAGTTTGGCCATCTCAAAAACCTAGGTTGACTCGAGGTGAGGATGTTCCTGGCCTCCGTCGGTCTTGTGCGCAGGAGAAAAACAGCCTCTCCGAGCAGGTGGAGATCATCATGGTCGTCCATGATTTGTGAAAGGAATCTTGAAAATTTGCTTTGATCTTTGAGTTTCGAGGAAAGAAAGATGGGGAAAGCAGTTTCCCACAGACGGTGTCACTGATCTTACTGGTTGATCAGAACCTACAATGTGGTCGGGTGATGATCTGCAATCGGGTTGTGATGTCGAGGAGGAATAAAGGGGGTTGTACCTACAAGACACTCTGACGATCAAGTAAGAGTGGGAACAATGAGATACAAGTAAAGTGTTAAGGTATTGGTGGTGAATAATGGATATTTGATACCTGACCCTCACAGGTATGGAGGTTTATATGATGTCCCTGACGCAAAACCATTGGTTCCTGTTTTTGCGCCTAGATATGCGGGTCCGTAAAAATAGGTAACTTCCAAGACTTGGTCAAACCGGGCAGATGTGCCCGTAACTAGCCGTTTGTTTCGAGGAGGGGGCAAGTTACGGGTAGTGGTCTGGTCGATTCCTGGTTATCTGTGCGACTTGAGGTCGGGCAAACTGAGAGATACTCGTCAATCATCTTAGGTCAGTGCCGCATTAGAAGGGAAAAAGGGTCGATATTTCCTGACAGGGAGCAGAGAGGTTCAGGCCATGGACGCATGGACCGTACCGAAAGAAAGGGTTAGACTGGGCCTATTCTAGCTGTCGGGCCAGTCCAGAACAATATTTTATACAAATTATTTAATTATTTACCATGGACTGAAACAAATTAGAAGAATATAATCATATATATATATATATATATATATATATATATATATATATATATATATATATATATATATATATATATATATATATATATATATATATATATATATATATATATATATATATATATATATATATATATATATATATATATTATTGTAAATCAGAAACTTATAAATCACACTTAATTGTGTTGTTGACAAAATTGGTTAGGTCATCTCAAGTGCATTATGATGCGAGAACTAGTTTTAAAGAACAACAAGTTTCTTCAATCAAATAAAATTTGTATGCTCCAAAATGAAAATTTGAGAAATTGAGTTTTTATGATATTACTTGTTGCTTGTCACAATCAGAAGTTTGTGAAATTATTTTCTTAAATGTTTAGACTAAGATCTTGTTTTTTGAATTTTTCAGAATTTTTTTGATAAATATCACATATATTATTAAAATTAATATTGAACATCTTGTAGCATATGTTCATAAAAAAATGGACTTGAAGATCTATTTTTTAGACGTCTAAAGTTAATTGTATGATTGATACTTGTGAGATCATAAATTCTAAATTAAATATTTGAAACACACATATGAATATTAATATATTTATTTGCATTAAGCCAACAAGACAGTGTATGTTAATTCTCTTCTTAACTTACAAATTATTTTAGGATAATAACCCAATACGTCTCATCTAAGTAAACTTTTGGATGTGTTGTGATTATTCAATTGCTCCAATATAGTACGCTAAGATGAGTTCTTAAAGAATATTGAGAAAATATCTTTTATATGAATCTCGTATTTGAGGATGTATCTTGATCCAACAATTGTAGACTTGTTTGAAGCATGGTAGGTTGACTATCATTAATTTTCTCAATATTAGGAAGAGAAAATAAGCAGCTAAAAGTGTGAACCAGAAGTTCAAATGAACAATTTGAAATAAAATATTATCATATCATTTTGATCCTCAAAGTTCAAAATAAAGTTCATTTGCAAAGTTTATGGAAAAAATTATTAGCTGCTAATACACCTCTCAAAGTGGATGCTCATATTGGACAATCTAATATTATAAATGAGTTATAACCGCGCCTGAAGCGTGGTAGAAAAGTCGACTCCAATGTTAAAAGTTCTCTACAAAGAAAAGAAACTAAACTTAAAGATGACCCAAGTGAGGATATGAAAACTCTAATAGCACTATGACCTAGTTTATTATCCAGTTCCAGAAGAACTAATGAAGTACTTGAAATATGAAATAAAGAGATCTTGATAAATTATGTCTTGGATGAAATGAAATAAAACTGAAATTAAGATAACCAAATAAAGTCAGCATTGACAATGTATTTGTATGCAATATAGCGCTAAAGATGATAAATGATAACGAGGATCATGAAACTAAGTCTAACAAAGATTGTAGACAAAGTGAGAATTAGTCAAAATGAACAAATCATGAATCAAAGTCTATCCAAGATTATAGACATAATGAGAATTGACCAAAACAAACAGATTCAATTGAAGAATAATTAAACTCACTTTAAAAGTGAATTGTTTTAGGACATGTAGTCTGAATACCTCGAGGTGTGTAACCAATAAGATATAAATGAGTTTTTGTGAAAAAAGAAAAATAAGAATGTATAAAACTTGATTTGTTACTCAATGATTTTCAAAAAGACCTAAGATTGAGTTTGATGAAACATATCCACCTGTAATGGATTCAATTAATTTTCAATAATTAATTAGTCTTGTAGCACATGAAGGGCTTGATTTGAGCATGATGGATATTATAACATCTTATTTGTATGATTCACTTGATAAGTACATAAAATTGAACAAGTATCTCTATGGGGTAAAATAATATGGACATAAGTGATATAATTGTCTTAATGAATATTTGTTAAGGGAAAGATATACAAATAAGTCTATAAGTCCTTGTATTTTTATGAAAAATTCTAGAAAATAATTTTCTATAATAACTGTCTATGTAGATGACATAAAATTATCGAAACTCCTGAAGAGATTCCAAAAGCTATAAGTTTTTTTTAAAAGCAATTATTTGAAATGAAGGACTTGGTAAAGAAAAAGTCCTTACTAAATGAACATTTAGACAATGAAAATTTTATTCACCAAGAAGGCTATATAGAAAAAATGTTAAAATATTTCTATATGAGTAAATCTCATATATAGCAAAAATGTTAAAATTTTCCTATATGGATAAATATCGTATGTTGTCTACCTTTATGATGTTAAATCATAGGATGTACAAACGATTCTTTTAGACCTCGAGAAGAGGGTGGATAATTAATTGATTCTGAAGTACCATATCCTAGTGTAATTAAAGAACTAATCTATCTTGCTAATTATGCACACCATACTATGTTAATTTCTATAACTCTACTAGCAAGATATTATTCTTCACCTACACGAAGACATTTGAACGGATCCCAACATAGACTTCGCTATCTTAAGGATAAATGGAAATGAATTTGTTTTATTTCAAGGTATCCAAATTATAATTAACAAATTATGCAGAAATAAGTTACTTGTCAAATCATCATAATGGTACATCACACAAATTATTTGTTTACTTATGATGGTATATATATTTCATGGAGACCTGTGAAACAAATCATAACAGTAACTTCATTTAATTATGAAGAAATTTTTAGCACTACGTGAGCCAAGTCGAGAATGTGTTAGGTTGAGATCCCAAACTCAACACACACAAAAGACTTATGGATTGTCTTATGGAAAAATAAATACAAGAACCATATATGAAGATAATATTACATGCATTACTCAATTGAAAGATAGTTATATTAAAGGAGATCGAACAAAACATGTTTCTCCAAAGTTCTTTTTCAGTCACGATCTTCAGAAAGGTGGTGATATAAGTTCCAAAAAATTTATTTATGTGATAATTGTTAATTGAAGGTAATATTAAAAGCAATTTGTATATTAATAGTAAATAATAAAAGATTATAATGATAGTTACTCAAATCATTAAATTATTATCTCATTCTAAATAGTCCATAAATTATAGCATATAAATAATTTAAACAATTACTATTTAATTATATCTCTAATAGGTATCACTTAACTCATCTATTACAAATGTTCTTCTTGTAAATATCAATGTCTCTACATAGGGAAGTCACTCTTTACATTTAAAGATAGGTGTTTGATATTATGGCCACTCCAGCCACAAGTATGCCGACAGATACAAAGATTTCCATTGTTGGGATAGCCGGTTTGGGAGGTGGAACTGTGAGGAGATCTTGAATCTTATATAAGTAAGTAAAATTGGGGTTAGAAAATCTTTCAATGACAAAAAAAAAAAGATTCTTACAATAATAGAATGTTCACAAACCTTGACAGGTTGCTTCCAGTACTTCTTTATTCCTTGTAGATGCCCTTTTCCAACAACAGCAACAACTGATCTTCTCTCACTTGCCACTTTTAATAATGTGTAGGACATGTACCTGGATAATACAAATCATGTCATAGATGATAGTTTGAAGAACCAACACCTCTAATCTCGTATCAGATTCTGACATCAGATACGATACAATATCAAATATTATATGATTATATTTAATTTATTCATTTTTAAATTATTAATGATGTCGATGTATTAATGTCAGATGACTTGGTGAATTCAATGATTCATAGTTGTGTAGAGCAACAAAAGCATTCATAATCCTTAAGTGCAATATTAGAACATACTTATCTCTTTCATGCACAATAGTCTCCATTACAGTTGGCAATTTCTCATTCATTATTTTGCTATCAAGAATTGACCCGTCATCCTCCTCCAACTCCTTTATCTGAAGAGGAAAGTAAAACCGATGTTAGGATATAGACATGAACTTAGCATATACTCCCTCCATTCTCTTTTATAAGAAAACTTTTAATTTTTAGATTCATGGAATAAATGGTGTATTTGGACTATATATAGACTGATACATTAATTGTTCAATAAATCTAAAAAGTTAAAATTTTCTTATAAATGAGAATGGAGGGAATACAGGAGCTAGCACATTAAATCATAAATTATACCCAATTTTTAACATTATCAAAGATAGATAAAGAAGGTGAGCATTTCACTGAAAAAGAAGGAATCAACAATCTTGAGATGTGCCAGAGTGGCAGCTTACTCCATGTTCTCTTTAATGTGATCTGTCTCAATCAAAATCAAAACCAATCAATACAGCAAGTTTCAAAACACAATTAAGTATCACAAGTGGTAGTTTATGCAGTTATTTAAGTTATCTGGCTTTCTAATTGCATCTATATTTGTCAATCATGTAATTCAACTAAAAATAACAAACATAAATCTCTCTCACGATCTATTATTTCTATTTGAATCTCTTTAAGAATTAAGAATTAAACAATCATAATAAATTAGTATCTAGAGTACATATTCGATCCAAGATTCCTGTTGACAACTTCTAATCAATTCCCTGCAAATCTACTAGTGTTTAAAGGTGAGCACTATTATATGGTGTGCGTAAATGAGGGTCATATTCAAATTTCAAAGTATTCTTGAATCATTAAGATGGCTTGTCTGTATTGGAAGTAAATGCAACTAAGGTGCAAAAGACTGTTCATCGGGAATTGAGCAAGAAGGACATAAAAGGTTTATTCTTGATTAATTAGTTTGTAGATTACATTTTTTTGAGACGATTATCGAGGAAGAAATAATTAAGGTTGTATGATACACTCAAGAAATTGTATGGTGGTGATGAGAAATTGAAGAAGATGAAGTTGCAATCTTTGAAGAAAAAACATGAGAATACACAAATGAATGATGGTGAGGTAGTTGCATAAATTTTTTTAAGATTGATGTTACTAACAGTTCAAATGAAGTCATGAGGTGAGAAGATCATTGAATTTCAGAAGGTTGAGGGTATTATATGGTGTGCACAAATGAGGGTCATATTCAAATTTCAAGGTATTCTTGAATCATGAACGGTGGCTTGTCTATATTAGAATTAAATGCAACTGAGGCACAAAAGATCGTTCATCGGGAATTGAGCATGAAGGACGAAAAAGATCTATTATTGATTAATTAATTTGTAGATTACTTTTTTTATACGACTATCGAGGAAGAAATAACTAAGGTTGTGTATGATACACTCAAGAAGTTGTATGGTGGTGATGAGAAATTGAATAATATGAAGTTGCAATCTTTGAGAAAAAAATATGAGAATACACAAATGAAAGATGGCGAGGTAGTTGCATAATTTTTTTTAAGATTGGATTTTTTGAGAATTCAAATGAAGTCATGAGGTGAGAAGATCATTGAATTGTAGAAAGTTGAGCATATTATACGGTGTGCACAAATGAGGATCATATTCAAATTTTAAGGTATTCTTGAATCATGAACGATGGCTTGCCTGTATTGGAAGTAAATGCAACGGAGGCGCAAAAGACTGTTCATCGGGAATTGAGCAAGAAGGACGAAAAAGGTCTATTCTTGATCAATTAGTTTGTAGATTACTTTTATTTAGACGATTATCGAGGAAGAAATAACTAAGGTTGTGTATGATACACTCAAGAAGTTGTATGGTGGTGATGAGAAATTGAAGACGATGAAGTTACAATATTTGAGGAAAAAAATATGAGAATACACAAATGAATGATGGTGAGGTAGTTGCATAAATTTTTGTAAGATTGCTGTTACTGACAATTCAAATGAAGTCATGAGGTGAGAAGATCATTGAATTGCAGAAGGTTGAGAAATTTTTGAGAATTTCAAGATCTATCACATAGTCGTGGCTTTTGAAGAATCTAAAATCCGTCTGAGATAAAACTTGAATAATTGCAAGTATCATTGAAGGTTGAAGTGGAGAAACTCTGAGAAGGTAATAAAACAAGCCCTGAAAGCTAAGTTCTTCAAGTATATTTCTCAAAGATCAACACAAGGAAATAAAAACGAAAAAAGGAAGAAGTAAAATGGTGAAGGTGTGGGCGAGAACTCAAAGAATCAAGGAAAGACAAGCAAGAATGTCTCCTCTCACAACTAGAAAATTAAGAAGAAAGTTGATATGAAGGAAGTGTAATGATATTGTTACTAGAAGTTTGGCCACTATGAAAGAGATTACTACTTCAATAAAGAATCCAATGCAAATGATAAAGAAGAAGAACAATTTGTACATGTAAGCAATATTGACTTTGATTAAGTTACGCTAATGGCCAATACACATTTGACACAAGACAAGACCAATATTGTAATTCAGTTTGAAGTAACCAATAGAAATCTCTGAGTTGAAGAAAATGAAATTAAAAAATCATGTAACCTGTATAGGGCGATCACCAAGTACCACTTTGCCACCATACTTGATTGCTTCTCTGTATCCAGAACGAAACTCAGCACCAGGATACACGTCAAGCTCATTGGCAAGCTGTCAGAAATTCAAGAATAGAAAAATAATGGTACATGATATTTACAACATTGAATAAGATGATGATAGATATGATTGTCAAACATTAGAACATGCCTCTGCCATGAACCAGCTATAAAGTATTCCAGACATGTTGTGTTTCTTCTTCCAGCTTTCCAACATTTCTTGCTCAGTTGGTACCTGCCAGAAGCAAAAGACCGTTATGATTTTAATATGCAATTGGAAACTATGGTGTTACAATCCAATTTACTAAATCTAAAGACAAAATTAAAGAATGAAACCTTAATCTTTTCGCGGTAAAGAACTTGCTCACGACTCTTACACAATTCCAAAAAGACAATCTGCAGTGCACAAAAGCCAATCATAAGATTTCACTATAAAAACAAACATGTTGATATCAAAAGAAAAAAAAATTAACCACCTCTGGTTTCAAATATTTGACAATAGCTTCAACTTGTTGGGTTGATTTCTGCAAAATAGTTCAACATTAGGGGATGGTTTGATAGTAACATGCACAATCTAATAATGAGTCAAAAAATGAATTCTAAAGAGTTCATGTAATCATTTATTATTTTTTATTCTAATTCAATATAAATTCTAAAGAGTGTTTTATATTAAGTTCTCAAGCTTTATTTTCATATGAAAATGATCTTCAACTCTTATATTCTATTCTTCATAACAAACTTCATCTCAATGGGGTCATGAAGTAATTTTTTAAAATTACTTTATAGAAGATCAATTGCATATGTTAAATAACCAACAAATGTGTTTGGATGGATTAATACACTTTTAGTTTATCATCTATTCTCTCTTTGTTCATCACTGAATTCAAAGAATGATGACCTTAGAAGTTCATCTTCAACATGGTATCATTCATATGTTCGGATCATCCGTGCTTCCCTAATTCGCAATCTCTGATTCATCTAATTCTACTCTTCATGCTTGATTAATCATCACGTTACTAGTTTTTCAAAGTTCAACAATGGATTCTGTAGGAAAGCAAAAACCAGTGATCAAAGATCCAGTTCAATCTCTAGAAATTTCTTCAGTTTTTGCATCGCCAAAATCCAACAACTCGTTTGGACTGAAGCTCTCGATTAAACTACAAGAGAACAACTTTTTGATTCAGAATCAACAAGTTAAAGGAATTATTTTAACTCAAAAGACACATAAGCTTGTTGTGAATCCACAAATCCCTCGGAAGTTTAAATCTGCTCAAGATCGTCTCACGGGTACATTTTCTGATGAGTATGAAGCTTGAATCGTCTAAGATCAAGCAGTCTTCATATAGCTGCGGTATACAATCTCTAAATATATATTACCTAGGGTTCTTGCATGTAAACACGCCTTTGAAGTTTGGGACACCTAACAGTTTTTTAGTTGAGGATACACCTAACAGTTCCCATGCTACATGTTGTATTTCTTGCCCACTAACATGCCACCAGTTCCACTAGCAAGTTTATATATGCCTGTAGCAACCGTTTCACCTATGACCCAACCTTCTAACACTAGATTACAATATATTAACTTAATTGTGCCTAATTCCACAACTCAGTCTACCCCTACTGAAAAAGACACTAATCAAAAATTTGGTCCCAAAGTTCATAACTCACATTCTCTGAGTCAACCTACTAGTCCTCATATTGTCCCAAGTCAGACTGTCTCTACACACATGTCTGATCACTCATCAACTGCACTTCCTGACTTTGTTCCATCAGCTAATATACCCCATCTCAGTAATGTTTCTGTAGACAGTCCCACTAATAACTTCACGAGTTATCCTTTCTCTAGTACAGGTCTTGGTACATCACATTATCCCAGGGTTAATGAATCTACTAGCATCTCCAAAAAAGCAAATAGCCCTACGGGTAATGACCCTAGTCCTGTACCTGAGCTCTCTAGTTATCCTAAGGATAATAACCTAGCTAGAGCCTAGAGTATTTGTTGCAATAAGTAACCCTAAGGGTAATGAATATGAGCAACATTCTAGCTTAAATAGAGAAAGAACTACAATGCAAGAACCAAGCACTACCTTATGCTCTAATGAGTTAACCTTATCCTCTTGTATTCGCATATTCGAGTCCCCTCACTCTCCATTTATTTCCACAAGTAAACCTCTTGTCCCACTTCTAGAAAACAATCATACTATGCTTATCAGGGCTAAAACTGGTAAGTCAAAACCTAAAGCATTCATTGCTCATACTGAGTCTGAACCAGCTAGTGTTAAGAACCTCTAACGAAACATGAGTGGGCAAAAGCAATGAGAGATCAATTTAAATCCATGCAAGCAAACAAAACATGGACATTAACCACTTTACCTTTTGATAGAAAGGATGTAGGATGAAGAGGGGTCTTTAAAGTCAAAGAAAATGTTGATGGAAATATACACAAACACAAAGCCGAACTTGTTGGCAAAGGCTATCACCAAGGACAAGAGTTTGATTACACTGAAACCTTATCTCTAATGGTAAAACCAACCACTATTAGAGTAATTCTAACCTTGCTATCACATACAAGTGGGATATTCAACAAATAGATGTTAACAATGCATTTTTGAATGATAATATTCATGGTGAAGTCTATATGACACAACCTCCTGGTTTTGTAAGTACTGGTAAAGTTTAGTGTGCAAGCTCAACAAAGCCATATATTGCTTCAAACAAGCCCTAAGGGTCTGGTATGAGAAACTGACACAAGCTCTTCTTCAGTTTGGGTTCACTGTTTCAAAGTGTGATAATTCACTTATTGTCTATTTATTGTCTATTGCAAACAGGGTATTTCTTTAAATGCTTTAGTTTATGTAGATGACATTCTTATTATTAGCTCAAGCTCTTCACTCATTTATGATCTAATCAACAAACTGCACACTACTTTTTCCTTAAATAAGTTGGGAAGACCTAGTTATTTTCTAGGGATTGACGTTAAATTTTGCAGCAAAGGCTCTCTTTTTCTTACTCGGTCTAAATAAATAAAAGATATATTATCAAGGGCAAAGATGACTGATGCTAATGGTTTTCCAACCCCTATGTTGAGTACATGTAAACTAAGCAAGCATAGTACAAATTAGATGCCTGATCAAAAATTATACAAATCCATAGTCGGTACTCTACGGTATGTTACTTTGACAAGGCCATATATTACATACTGTGTTAACAAAGCATGTCAGCTTATGGCTTGTCCCCTTGATACTTGTAACGGCCGTTAATTTAATTAATTATTTAATTAAATTATTTTTAGATTATTTGTTGAAGTTGTGAGATGTTGTGGATTGTTGGTATAAGTTGTTAGATTATTATAAATTAATTAATTAGTTGATTAATAATAAATAATAATATTGGAATTAATAGAATAATATAAGATTAAGTTGTTGGACCTATTTTATATGGTGGTATCTAGTACTAAGGGGGTGTGAGAATTAAGCCCAATAGAAATAATTCTATTGTTATTGAGTTTGGTTATAATAATAGAAATTAGATGTGACAGTAAGGAAAATAGGTTTTGTCAAGAGGAAGAAGAATAAGGATTGGAAGAGAGAAAATGAATGTAGAAGTTACAGAGAAGAGGAAAAGAGGCAAAGCGGGATTCGATCGGAGAATTGTAGAACAACCTTCAATCCAAGGTAAGGGTGGGGTTCCGACTCTATAATTGGATATATGATGCATGTTACGTGGGAATTGGATTGTGTGAAATTGTTACTGTATGTGATGGTTGTATGAATAAATTGTTGTTTGGCATTTGTGATAATTGTGCTAACGTTGCAGTGATTCAATCGATGAATCAGGTCTTGAAAATTACCATATATTGATGTGGATATAATTATTGTGTTGGCCTGAGATTAGGGCAGAGAAGGAATTACTGATCGTAGGAAAATTTGGACGAAGTTGCAGAACTTGGAATTATGGGCATGTGCCGAGCGGCACAAGTGTGGTGGTGATGGGGTGCCGACCGACACCATGTTTCTGTGTTGAGGGGCACAAATCCATTTACTGCATCTTCTTTTAATTGTTTTTTGCTTTGTGTGTTTGTTACTTACTAGTTGTTATATAAAAAGGTTGATTACAGTAGCAGAGTTATCAATTCAATTTATTTAGTAAAGTAGGTGTACAAGTAGCAGAGATAATTAGTTGGTTACAGAGTTAACAATAATGAGTAACATTGTAGTAAATGTTAGCAGAAATTATTAATTAGCAGAGTAGTAAATTAGTAAAGTTGCTTTAGTAGCAGTAAATAATAGAGTATTAATACATAGCAGGATTGGTTTATAACATAGATGGTTAGTAAGAAAATCTTAGAGTTGATATTTAACAGGGCTAATTAGTTAGATACTTTAGTAGCAGCAACAGAGATTTAATTATAGTAGAGTTAATTTAATGGAGTTGGTATATGTATATAGCAGAATTAAAATAGCAGTAGAGATAATTGAAGTAGCAGAAAAATAATAGTTTCACTAATTTAGCAGAAAACTATTAATGAGGCTTATGGAAGAATAATTTAGTAGAAGTATTTTAGTAGGATCGTGTTAATAATATTATTGGCATGTGTAAGTTGTGGTATTATTGTTATTAATTGTTGAAGTTGCAGGTAGTGGTGAGTTATGTTGTATCGCATCTATAATTGACAATTATTAAGTTGCAGGCTTATGACCAATGTTGAATTAAGTTGAATTATTAAGTTGTAGGCTTATGACCAATGTTGAATTAAGTTGAATTATTAAGTTGTAGGTATATGGCCAGTGTTGAATTATTATTAAGTTGTTGTTAAGTTGTAGTTGAATTGTTATTGTTTTGTTGTTGTTGAATGGTTGATGTTGTAGTTGTCGCATGCATAGCATAACAAGTTGGCCTGGATTGGCAAAAAGTTGAAGTTGAAGGCTTATGTCTTGTTGATGCCTCTATTAATTGGCAATTTCAAAGTTGGGAGTTCTGCTCCGTTTCTAAGTTGAGAGTTTTGCTCCGTTTCTAAGTTGGGAGTTCTGCTCCATTTTTAAGTTGGGAGTCCTTCTCCGTTGGTACCACATGCATGTGCATGGTAATAAGTTGCATTTCACATTGTATATTAAGTTATTGTGTTTGTAAATTATTTATTATGTTTCGTTGATGTTTTCGTTGTGATTGACGTTGTTTAAAGTTGTGAAGTGGTGATTTGGCATAGACTAATTCTAATGTAATATTATCATACATCTGATTATATTGTTCGATATCTCACCCCTTTTGTTTGAATGTTACTCCGATGTTGGTAACGTGTAGGTAATCCAGAGTGAAGGCGGTTTACCTTCAGTAGTTTGAGTCAGTGTCATTGCTCTGATACGTAACACTCGGGGGGATGAACGCTTGTTGTTTTATTATTGTCATTATTTCAGTTGATTGATCCTTAAGTTTTTGTTCATTAAGTACTTATTATTTGAAGTTGTTTAGTTGGACAAAGATGATATATTCTTATAAGTTGAATATTTGATTCTGCTGTGTAGTT